TGCTTGGCCTGCTGTGTTCATCCAGCTCTACACCTTGTTATCTCAGATTCTCCAGCATCTGCAGTTCCTACTATCTCTCATATTGTATAAGGTCTAGCTGGCTGGTCTCGTTACAATCACGACACTAATATGTGTCCAATTATGTTTGATAATGCGCTGGGGATACTGGAAAGGTGCTACATCAATGCAGGTTGTTGTTACGTTGCAATATATCCTCAACGACTTCCCTTCCTAACTCACTGTGCTTTATTATCTGAAGTCAGCTGATGTCTGGTATGGATTACCTCTGGCAATGTCAGGTCACCATATGCTTTGCCATTTGTTAGACTTATTGAGAGAGCCTTGAACCTAGAGACCCGAGCTTCTCGCTTTGAATTGCTTTAGCCGGCTTCTACTGAGATTCGGGTTCTCGAGGGACAGTGCCCTCCAGAAAATCATCTGAGTGGCCATTCTGATCCAAGTCCTGAGCCGTCAGAGACTGCCCTCGGAAAGATGACTTTAGAGTTGTTGTTGGGCTTGTGAACGGAAAATAATCGTCTCCTCTTTCCCATCCCCCAGTGCCAGAATCTAGGCAAACTGACCACGGTTCGGATTGGACATGATAACTCAGGTCTGCTGGCCAAGTGGTTAGTGGATTGTGTGATGGTCAGGAATGAGATTACAGGCCATACCTACAGGTAAGGACACAACATAGACACTTTTTATACATATGTGTAGAAAGGGGAGATATACACAGACATAAACTCAGTTATTTCTACATGTACACATCTGTTTATATATAAAAAATCTGCCTTTATTCGTCAGTGCATTCAGTATAGGAGTCGGGAGGTTCACGTTGAGGCTGAACAGGACATTAGTTCAGACACTTTTGGAATACTGCATTCAGTTCTGGTCTCCCTGCTGTAGGAAGGACATTGTTAAACTTGAAAGAGTTCAGCAAAGATTTACAAAGACGTTGCCAGGACTGGAGGATGTGAGCTATAAGGAGAGGCTGAATAGGCTGGGGCTTTTTTCCCTGGAGCGTCAGAGGCTGACGGGTGACCTTATAGAGGTTTATAAAATCATGAGGGGCATGGATACGGTGAGTAGCCAAGGTCTTTTTCCCCAGGGTGGGGGAGTCCAACACTAGAGGGCATAGGTTTAAGGTGAGAGGGGAAAGAATTAAAAGGGACCTAAGGGGCAGCATTTTCATGCAGAGGATGGTGTGTGTACAGAATGAGCTGCCAGAGGAAGTGATAGGTGCTGGTACAATTACAACATCGAAAACTATGGGTACATGAATAGGAAGGGTTTAGAGGGATATGGGCCAAATACTGGCAAATGGGCGTAGATTAATTCAGGACATCTGGTCAGTATTGACAAGTTGGACCGAAGGGTCTGTGTCCATGCTGGATGTCTCTATGATTCTTTGGTAGTTAGGAAGTACACAGATGGGTGCAGCCTTTGTTATACAATGAATCAATAACAGAACAACGACACAAGAATGTCTTTTAAAAACAGTGATATTTAATTGCCCTGGGCCCCGTAGGAAGGAATGGTTTGAAGGCAGTGTTGTTTTGTCTGACGGTCTGTGTTACTTCGCATCAGGTTCCCCTGTGGACGGTGGCTTGGGAAAGGAGTAGACGATGGCAGTCTGGAGCGGATCCTGGTCGGTGAACTCATCACCCCGGTGGTGGAGGAAGACCTGAGCAAGCAGTGTCGCACTCCACCTCAGCTCCGATCGCCGACCGTCGCCCGCCGTCTGAGCATCACGTCCCTCGGGGGGAAGACAGCCAGTGAGTGACCTCCCAGCGTGCGGCTTAACTCAGTGACCTAATTGTCTCGTGGGCCGCAAGGGAACCTTGCAACATCAGGCCAAGTGCAGCTCCAGCCCAGCGCTGTACCATATGAAAATGGAGATCCCATTAGTTCATTCGGACTGTTCTTTAGGACAGGCCTCCCATTGCCATTCATTACAGAGTGCTGCTCTGAGGTTGAGGCTGACCCACATTGTTGGGAGCAAAGCAGAAGAAGTCTCATTCTGCATCTAACTGTGCTGTCAAGACCGTCCCTGAAAGTGTTTGACCTCCAGTGCCTGAATGGGAAAATGTTTCATTCTCAGCATTAACGTCCCACAACTTAATGAACACCAAAGATGTTGCTCCATGTTCTTCAAAAGATGGTGACTAATGCATAACACGGCCCTTCAGTAACATATGCTGTGTCCCTCTAGCTGACCTGTAGGAATGAGCTTGTGGCAGTGTTCCCGTTTCTCAATCAGAATGAGAAGGTGCTGGGTTCAAACCCTGCATCTGATAATCGTGCCAAGTGCAGATTGGAGCCCCAACTCTGAACTCCAGTGGGATATTTCTCTCTGAGATAGTAGGAACTACAGATGCTGGAGAATCTGAGATAACAAGGTGTAGAGCTGGATGAACACAGCAGGCCAAGCAGCATCAGAAGAGCAGGAAGGCTGATGTTTCGGGCCTAGACCCTTCATCAGAAATGGGGGAGGGGAAGGGGGTTCTGAAATAAATAGGGAGAGAGGGGGAGGCGGATAGAAGATGGATTGAGGAGAAGATAGGTGGAGAGGAGACAGACAGGTCAAAGAGGCGGGGATGGAGCCAGTAAAGGTGAGTGTAGGTGGGGAGTTAGGGAGGGGATAGGTCAGTCCAGGGAGGACAGACAGGTCAAGGGGGCGGGATGAGGTTAGTAGGTAGGAGATGGGGGTGCGGCTTGAGGTGGGAGGAGGGGATAGGTGGGAGGAAGAACAGGTTAGGGAGGCGGGGACGAGCTGGGCTGGTTTTGGGATGAGGTAGGGGGAGGGGAGATTTTGAAGCTTGTGAAATCCACATTGATATCATTGGGCTGCAGGGTTCCCAAGCGGAATATGAGTTGCTGTTCCTGCAGCTTTCGGGTGGCATCGTTGTGGCACTGCAGGAGGCCCAGGGTGGACATGTCGTCTGAGGAATGGGAGGGGGAGTTAAAATGGTTCGCGACTGGGAGGAGCAGTTGTTTATTGCGAACCAAGCGTAGATGTTCTGCAAAGTGGTCGCTGAGCCTCCGCTTGGTTTCCCCGATGTAAAGGAGGCCACAACGGGAACAGCGGATGCAGTATACCACATTGGCAGATGTGCAGGTGAACATCTGCTTGATGTGGAAGGTCTTCTTGCAGCCTGGGATGGGGGTGAGGGGGGAGGTACGGGGGCAGGTGTAGCACTTCCTGCGGTTGCAGGGAAAATTGCCGGGTGTGGTGGGGCTGGAGGGGAGTGTGGAGCGGACAAGGGAGTCACGGAGAGAGTGGTCCCTCCGGAAAGCAGATAAGGGTGGGGAGGGAAAGATGTCTTTGGTGGTGGGGTCGGATTGCAGATGGCGGAAGTGTCGGAGGATGACGCGTTGGATCCGGAGGTTGGTGGGGTGGTACGTGAGGACGAGGGGGATTCTTTTTTGGTTGTTATTGCGGGGACGGGGTGTGAGGGATGAGTTGCGGGAAATGCGGGAGACACGGTGGAGGGCGTTCTCGACCACTGAGGGGGGGAAGTTGCGGTCCTTGAAAAACGAGGACACCTGAGATGTACGGGAGTGGAATGCCTCATCCTGGGAGCAGATGCGGCGGAGGCGAAGGAATTGGGAATAGGGGATAGTATTTTTGCAGGAAGGTGGGTGGGAGGAGGAGTATTCTAGGTAGCTGTGGGAGTCGGTGGGCTTGAAATGGATATCGGTTTCTAGGTGGTTGCCCAAGATGGAGACAGGGAGCTCCAGGAAGGAGAGGGAGGTATTAGAGATGGTCCAGGTGAACTTAAGGTTGGGGTGGAAGGTGTTGGTGAAGTGGATGAACTGTTCGAGCTCCTCGTGGGAGCACAAGGTGGCGCCGATACAGTCATCAATGTAAAGGAGGAAGAGGTGGGGTTGAGGGCCGGTGTAGGTACGGAAGAGGGATTGTTCCACGTAACCTACAAAGAGACAGGGCCCATGCGGGTACCCATGGCCACCCCCTTTGTCTGTAGGAAGTGGGAGGAATTGAAAGAGAAGTTGTTGAGGGTGAGGACGAGTTCGGCTAAGCGGATGAGGGTGTCAGTGGAGGGGGACTGGTCGGGCCTGCTGGACAGGAAGAAGCGGAGGGCCTTTAGGCCATCTGTATGGGGAATGCAGGTGTATAGATACTGGACGTCCATGGTAAAGATGAGGTGTTGGGGACCAGGGAATTGGAAGTTCTGGAGGAGGTGGAGGGCATGGGTGGTGTCACGGACGTAGGTAGGGAGTTCCTGGACCAAGGGGGAGAAAATGGAGTCCAGATAGTTGGAGATAAGTTCGGTGGGGCAGGAGCAGGCGGAGACAATGTGTCGACCAGGGCATTCAGGTTTGTGGATTTTGGGAAGGAGATAGAAGCGGGCGGTGTGGGGTTGGGGAACGATGAGGTTGGAGGCCGTGGGTGGGAGGTCACCTGAGGTGATGAGGTTGTGGATGGTTTGGGAGATGATGGTTTGGTGCTCGGGGGTGGGGTCATGATCAAGGGGGCGGTAGGAGGAGGTGTCGGAGAGTTGGCATCTGGCCTCGGCGATGTAGAGGTCAGTGCGCCATACTACAACTGCGCCTCCCTTGTCCGCGGGTTTTATGGTGAAGTTGGGATTGGAGCGGAGGGCTGCACGTTCTGCGGGGAAGAGGTTGGAGTGGGTGAGAGGGGTGGAGAGGTTGAGTCGATTGATGTCTCGCCGGCAGTTTGAGATGAAGAGGTCGAGGGAGGGTAGGAGGCCTTGGGGTGGTGTCCAGGAGGAGGGGGTGTGTTGGAGGCGGAAGAAGGGGTCAGTAGAGGGAGGGTTAGGTTCATGGTTAAAGAAATAAGCGTGGAGGTGGAGGCGGCAGAAAAACTGCTCTATGTCCAAACATGACCGGTATTCGTTGATGTGTGGGTGGAGGGGGACAAAGGTGAGCCCTTTACTGAGGACTGACCGTTCGTCCTCAGTAAGGGGTAGGTCTGGGGGGATGGTGAAGACTTGGCAGGGCTGGGTGCTATTGTCCCCTCTGGAGCTGCTGGCTTTGGAGGCTGTGGGCGGAGCGACATCGGCGTTCTCTCTGGTAGGTCTGGATGGTTTCAGACAGACACAGACACACATTCTCTCACACACAAAAACAAACATACACATTCGCACATTCTCTCACTCACATTCTATCACATGCGCGCACACAAACACACTGTCTCACACGCACACTCTCTCGCATGTACACTCTCTCTCAGTCACATTCTCTCGCAAACACATGCTTTCTCAGTTGCATTCTGTCACACGCACACTCTCTTGCACACAAACTCTCCCGCACGCACTCTCTCCTGCTCGCACTCTCTCGTGCACACACACTCTCCCGCACACGCATTATATCTAGAGTGCCAGAACACAATGAGTCAGAAGTCATGCTTCAGCTGCTCAAAGCCCTAGTTAGGCCACACCTGGAGCAGTTTTGGGCACCTTTGCATAGGAAGGAGATATGGATGTTGGAGGGAGTGAATTCCAAATGCACCAAAATGATATATGAACTCAAAGGGAAGATTAAACAGACTAGGGTTATACTCCATGAAATTTAGATGGCTGTCGTATGATTTGCTGCCAGTTTTCAAAGCATCAAGGAGAACTCATTGGATAGATAGAGAGAAATTTTTTTTTTTCTTGCTGTCTGGAGGGCTGTGGGACAAGAGCCTAAAACTTTGTGCCAGACTTTTCAGGAGTGAAGGTAGAAAATATTTATACACACGAAGGGTGGTAAAAGTTAAGTAATCTCATCTGAAAACATCAATCAATACACAATCAACTGTGAATTGTAACTGATAAATGTTAGTTAATCAACTTTTCTAAGGGATGTGAGCAAATGCGTGTAAATGGAATAAAGTCACAGACCATGCAGGAATCTTGGTCTGGAGGGATTGAATGGGCCTCCATCCTGTTGATATATTGCTATCATTCACTAGTGGACGGATTTGCATCATGTTCTCCATGGGAACCTGTCAGCCCAGTTAATCCTTTTTTCAATTTTTCCCTGACAGAACCCAATGCTGGCCAAATCCAGGAAGGAATTGGGGAATCAATAAATAATATTGTGAAGCATTTTCATAAACCAGAAAAAGAGGTAAGGTTTCAAAAACATTGTACATTGGAGTCTCGGTGAGGATGTCAGTGAGCATCAGTTCGTTATTTTCCTTTTTTTGCCTAGTGTCACTTTTGTTAGCTGTGACTCCATTAGTCTACTTGTTGGAGGGCTGTTGGTTCAAATCCCAGTCTAGAGACATGAGCATTTCAGTTCAGTCCTGAAGGAATGCTGCATTGTCCGACATGCCAACCTTTTCAGTGAGATATAAAACTAAAGCCCCATCTGGTTTCTTAGCCGGATGTCAAAGATCCCACTGCAGTATCTGAAGAGAAGCACAGACGTTTTTCCTAGTGACCTGATCAAAATTTATCATTCGTCAACCAACACTTAAGTTGGACAATCTTGGATCATTGATCTCCCTTGCTGTGCACAAATTGACTCCCAATTTTTCGACATTGTGGAATTACCTCACTGGGTCTAAGCCACTTGAATTTCTCAAGGTCAGGGAAGGAGATATGTGTAAATGTGAACTCTTTCTCTTCTCAAAGTGGCTGACTCTTGCCATATGTGGTCCTTGAGTATCAGCATACCTCTGTTAACTTGTGAAAATTACCTCCCTTCTCCTCAAAGCCTGTTCACAATCTACAAGGCACAAGTCAGGAGTGTGATGGAATACTCCCCACTTGCCTGTTGGTCATTGTCAATTGTTATACAAACCTATCTGGTTCCTTGATATCCTTTTAGAGAACGAAATCTGCCACTGTTACCCAGTCTAGCTGACCTGTAACTCCAGACCAACAGCAATATGGCTGACTCTGAACGCAGCTGTGAAATGGCCAATAAAGCTACTCACTTCAAAGCTGATTAAGGATTGAGAAGAAATCATAGATCATAGAATCATAGAATCCCTACCGTGTGGAAACAGGCCCTTCGGCCCAACAAGTCCACACCGACCCTCAGAGCAACCCACCCAGACTCATCCCCCTATAACCCACCTAAGCTACACATCCCTGAACACTATGGGCAATTTAGCATGGCTAATCCACGAAATGTTGGCCTTGTTAGCGATGCCCATTTCCCCCGTTTGAATAATAAAAAAACTTATGGAATTCCTACAGTGTGGAAGCAGCCCATTTCACCAACCCTCTGAAGAGCATCCAACCCAGACCCACCCTATCCCTGTAATTCCCAAGACTAATCCACCTAACCTGCACATCCCTGGACAATTTAGCATGGCCAATCGACCTAACCTGCATAATCTCTGGACTGTGGGAAGAAACCGGAGCATCCGGAGGGAACCCACACAGACACAGGGAGAATGTGCAAACTCCACACAGACAGTCGCCCAAGGGTGGCATCAAACCTGGGTCCCTGCTAGTGTGAGGCAGCACTGCTAACCACGGAGCCACCGGGCTGCCTGTGTCTTTATCAGATTTATTTCGCTCCATCTGAGGCTGGTGTAGGACTAACAGTGGGGCCAGTCTAATTGTGCAACCCAGCTCCTGTCTTGACTAGAATTAGCCAACTTGGACTGAATCAAGAATTAACCTGGACTTTGGTGGTCTGTAAGGATCAAGATTGTATACACACTCTCCTTACCCACAAGCTAATTTGGACAGAGATAAGTTTCACGGAGAGTGGTCAAGGGATAGGAAGAGGACTCGGACTGTAGATGCACAAGAGGGGCTGGAACCACAGGGGTTTGGGATGAGGGTCAGAGTTGCAAGAATGGGCAGCAGCAAAGCACAAAATGATTTCAACAAGATGTTAGGGATTTAAATTTTTTTAAAAATTCCAAAGAACTGCAGATGCTGGAAATCAGAAACAAAAACAGAAATTACTGGGAAAAACTCAGCAGAATTCTGAAGAAGGGTCACTGAACCCAAAACGTTAACTCTGCTTTCTCTCTCCACAGATGCTGCCGGATCTGCCTAGTTTTTCCAGCAATTTGTGTCTTTTTTAGGAATTTAAGTGTTTAGGAATTTAAAGGCAGGTACTGGGACCTAACCACAGAATTGCTGGGAACAGGGCTGACCTGAAGAATATGGAGCAGGGAATGAGAGGTAACTTTGGAGGGCCCTGGAATAGTCAAGCCAGGAGCTGATGCAGGCTTGGAATAGGTTCCTGAGCACTTGAGATGACTGATTATTATGGAAGATAAAGGATGCATTTGCTGGTAGATGTGGGTTTGTTGGTCTGTTTGGGGTGTCGGATGAAGCACCAGTCTTGTGGAATTGTAAAGCTGACCTGGTAACATGTTACGTTCCCATCAGCAGGAAGTGAAGGTTAACATTTGTATCAGCATTCCTTGTTACTTAATCTCCCATTGCATGTAGCTTCAGTGTCTGAGAATATTGTGGCACAGATACCAATGGAGCTACAGTGACACCTGATGGTAGCTGCTGGGAATTGTTTATATGGGGAGTTCCCATTAAAACCAGTCACACTGGCATTTAAACTTCAAGTATTGAGACAAAAGAATTGTCATAGTGACAGAAAAAAGTGAAGCATGGGGTCAGAAAATGCATAGAAGCATATAAATCATAGAATCCCTGCAGTGTGGGGGCAGGCCATTCAGCCCATCGATTCCACACTGTCCCTCCAAAGAACATCCCACCCAGACCCAACCTATCCCTGTATCCCTGTAACACTGCATTCCCATGGCTAATCCACCTAGCCTGCATATCCCTGGACACTAACTTATCCCACGTGTGGAGAGTGAGCTTTACCCTAGCTTGACTTTAATCTTCAGTGAAGGTGAAGGCGGTGTATTCCTCCCAATCCTCCAGACTTCACACTCGGCGAGTTGCAATTAAACTGACCTCAAACACTTTGAATGTAACATACTACAGATGCACAAAAGCCCACTTGCCATATATTTGCCAGTGGCCCAGTTTGGCCAGTCCCTTGTTCTTTCAAAGGTACAATGGTTATCCAAGGATTCAGGACATATCTGCGTTGCGTCCCTGCAGGAGCAGCTCAGCCAGTCCCGCTCACCCACCTTTATCCCCGGGACCCTGCGGATGTATTTCTCCTGAGGTTCCTATCCCAAACCCTTTGGAAAGCTGGGATTGGATCAGCCTCTGTCAGGCAGCGTGTTGCCAATCCTTGCTGTGAAGAAAGAACACATTTCCTCAGGTTGCCGTTGGTCTCCTTTTAAACTTGCGTTGCCGATGGGCAATGTCAGGCATTTGCTGGGCATGGTTTTCAGCTGTTGCATTTCCACTTGCTTTACTCTGACTGAAAATGTAAACTCTGACAGGCCAAATTTAGCACCACCATGTTGTTGGTCTCTGTTGCTGCGGTCTTTCTAGTGACAAGTAGTCTACTCTGTAACGTACTGCTCAGGGAACTGAGATTCCTCAGATCCCATATACCTTTCTAGTGAGGGGAAGGTGTTAATCACAATGGTCACTGCATTGTTGCTACAATAGATAATACTAATCTCTGAATTTGGGCTCTCTCTGCTCCTCTGTGGTTCAGTTCCCCTGGAAAAGGTTCACCCCTGTAGGCACAGATGCCCACTCAGAAAATTCATCCTGATCCAGCCTTCCGACTTTTCCCTGAACAAATTCCACTGCTCAGAGATATGAGCCTGCAGCAAGGTATAAACCTCATCATCGTTAGAGGCTCCTGCAAGCCCTGTGTTCAAAAACTCCCAACCGGTTGTGTTTCCACAGAGAGGCAGTCTGACCATTCTGCTGTGCGGGGAGTTTGGCCTCGTCTCTGCCCTGGAGCAAGTCTTTCACCATGGGTTCAAGTCTGCTCGACTCTTCCAGAAAAACGTCTTCATCTGGGACTTCATAGGTGAGTGCCAGAGGTCTGAGTTGTCATCTTTTGTTAGGCAGTGCGAGGGATTGACAGTTACGTCACACAGAGCTGAGCCTTCCTCCATCCCCAGTGTGATACCAACAAAGGATGATATTAGGGACAGCATAAAAGGCCTCACAGTTTCAGGGCTGATGATGTTATGTTGATTAATAATCACACAATGAAGGCCATTTGTTTCTGTTGATGGTCACAGAGTCATACAGCACGGAAACAGACCCTTCAGTCCAACTAATCCATGCCAACCATAATCCCAAACTAAACTAGTCCCACCTGCCTGCGATTGGCCCTTATCCCTCCAAACCTCCCTTATTTACATACTTATCCAAAAGTCTTTTAAACGTTGTAACTGAACCCGCATTGACTGCTTCTTCTGGAAGTTCATTCCACACGTGAACCACTTTCTGTGTAAAAATAATTGCCCCTCGTATGTTTTTAAAATCTTTGTCCTCTCACCTTAAAAATATCCCCAGTCTTGAAATCCCCCGCCCTTGGGAAAAGACACCTGTCATTCACCTTATCTGTGCCCCTCATGATTTTATAAACCTCTATAAGGTCACCCCTCAACCTCCTACGCTCCAGTGAAAAAAGTCCCAGCCTGTCCAGCCTCTCCTTATAACTCAAAGCCTCCATTCCCAGCAACATCCTGGTAAATCTCTTCTGAACCCTCTCCAGCTTAATAACATCCTTCCTACAATAGGGACACCAAAACTCGACACAGCACTTCAGAAGAGGCCTCACCAACGTCCTGTTCAACCTCAACCTAAAGTCCCAACTCCTATACTCAAAGGTCATTGCTGGACAAAGCACTGTGGCCGTTTCTTGACATGTGACAGTGGGGAGAACTGGTTTAACTGTTGCAATTTTAAACCCTTTGATTCATGATGGTTACCATTCTATTAGGGATTTACATCAAATTTCCATCAGTAGGATTGTACTCTGTACGGGAGAACGGAGAGTATTTAACTTGGAACCATCCTGGTTTTATTTTCGAACAGAGCTTTCTCTGCACAGTTTTATTTTTCTGTCCTCTTGCTGCTCTTCTTTGTAAGGGTGCTGAGGTCAACTGCTGTCTCTGCTGAGAACTGTAATTGGGAACAGCTTGACTCTGTGGAAGGGCCTGTGTACATCTGCAGTATATTGCCATCTTGTGGAAACAGGGCGAATGACCTTGAAAGGCGATTGGATCGCGTACCATTTGCAAACAAAGAACTGCAGATGTTGGAAATCAGAAACAAAAAACAGGAACTGCTTCCTGCAGGGATGGAGTTTAACCCTGAAAAGTGTGAGGTGATTCATTTTGGAAGGACAAACTTGAAAGCAGAATACAGGGTTAACAGAAAGATTCTTGGCAGTGTGGAGGAGCAGAGGGATCTTGGGGCTCATGCCCACAGTTCCCTGAAAGCTGCCACCCAGGTGGATAGAGTTGTTAAGAAGGCGTATGGTGTGTTAGCTTTCATTAATAGAGGGATTGAGTTCAAGAGCCATGAGGTTATGCTCCAGCTATACAAAAGCCTGGTTCGGCCACATCTGGAGTATTGTGTCCAGGTCTGGTCACCTCATTACAGGAAAGATGTGGAAGCGTTGGAAAAGGTGCAGAGGAGATTTACCAGGATGTTGCCTGGAATGGAGGGAAGGTCTTACGAGGAAAGGTTGAGAGAGCTGGGGCTTTTCTCTTTAGAACGACGAAGGATGAGAGGTAACTTGATAGAGGTGTACCAAATGATCAGAGGTATAGATAGAGTGGACAGCCAGAGACTTTTTCCTAGGGCGGAGGTAGCTATTACGAGGGGGCATAGTTTTAAAGTGAGTGGAGGTAGATATAGGGGAGATGCCAGAGGTAGGTTCTTTACTCCGAGAGTGGTAGGGGCGTGGAATGCATTGCCGGAGAGGGTAGTGGAGTCGGCCTCATTAGGGGCATTTAAGCGGCTATTAGATATGCATATGGATGATAGTATAAGGTAGGGATGGAGGTTAGATAGACCTTAGGATTAGGGTAAAAGTTTGGCACTACATCGTGGGCCAAAGGGCCTGTACTGTGCTGTACTGTTCTATGTTCTATGTTCTATGCTGGGAAAAATTCAGCAGATCTGGCAGCATGTGTGGGGAAAGAGCAGAGTTAAAATTTCAGGTCCACTGACCCTTCTTCAGAAGATTTCTGAAATCGAGGCTCGTGCAAAACAGGGATTACTCTCATAGAATACCTACAGTGTGGAAGCAGGCCATTCGGCTCATCGAGTCTGCACTGACCCTCTGAACAGCATCCCACCACCACCACCCTATCCCCATAACCCCATATTTCTCATGGCCAATCCACCTAATCTGCACATCTCTGGACTGTGGAAGGAAACCAGAGCATCCGGAGGAAACCCACACAGACACAGGGAGAACATGCAAACTCCAGACAGACAGTCGCCCGAGGGTGGAATCGAACCCAAGTTCTGGGCACCGTAAGGCAGCAGTAGTAACTACTGAGCCGCTGTGCTGCCCCTGTCAGCTTGATATTTTTTTTTAAAAATGGCTCAATGACAAAAAAACATGGTGAATGGGTGTTTTTCAGACTGAAAGAGAGCAGGAGGTGCTGGGATTGCTGCTTTTTTGATAGATGGAAACGTCTTGAACATTGGAGTACGGAGTAAAATTTCATAATTTGCTGAAGATCCCAAGCTCAGTGGTGTGGCTGAGAGTGAGGATGATGCCCGTCAACTGCACAGTCTAACAGAATGGGCGGAGAAGTGACAGAAGGAATCAAATACAGAAAGGTTTGAGGGCAGAGGCAGAGTCAATTTAGATTTAATGGCTAGGTTCTAAAGATCTGCAGAGACAGACGCATTCACGCGCATCAGTCTTTGAAGGTGACAGGGAGCATTGAGAGAGTATTTAGCAAACCCCGTAGAATCACGAGCTTCAAAAATAGAGATAATGAACACAAAAGTAGGAACGTTATGCTGAACCTATAGAAACCTCTGTTTGATTACAATCTGGGGACTGTGTTCACTTTTGGTCACCACACTACAGGGAGGGTCCTTGGAAGGGTGTGGAGGGAAGGTACCCGGATGGTTGCAAGGATAGGGGAGTTTTAGCTACCAGGTTGGGTTGATCAAACTGGGGTTGTTCTCCAGAGGGGGTCGAGGGAATATTTGTTAGAGATTTACAAGACTGTGACAGGGGTAGACAAGGGAGATGACAGCTGATGGTACTAGGATGAGGGGACATGGACCTGGGATTGTGGGTGAGAGCTGCAGGAGGAATCCGAGGAAGAGATTTTTGATACACAGTGATTGGTAATGACAGGACGTTGGTGACGCCATTTTTGGAATATTGCGTGCAGTTCTGCTCTCCCTGCTATAGAAAGGATGTCATCAAATTGGAAAGGGTGCAGAAAAGATTTACAAGGATGTTATCGAGACCTGGAGGGTTTGAGTTATAAGGAGAGGCTGAATGGGCTGGGACTTTTTTCCCTGCAGCATCGGAGACTGAGGGGTGACTTTATAAAAGTTTATGAAATGATGAGGGCCATAGATAAGTGAATAGCTAAGATCCTTTTCCAACAGGCAAAGGTTTAAGATAAGAGAGAAAAGATTTAAAAGGGAACTGAGGGGCAAGTTTTTCACACAGAGGGTGGTTCGTATGTGGAATGAAGTGCCAGAGGAAGTGGGTAGATGCAGGTGCAGTTACAATATTTAAAAGACACCTGGACAGGAATATGATTAGGAAAGGTTTTGGAGGGATATGGGCCAAACGCAGGCAAATGGGACTAGTTTAGTTTAGTTTGGAAAAGCTGGTCAGCACAGACGAGTTGGACTGAAGGGTCTGTTTCTGTGCTGTATGATTCTATGACTCTATGACTTGAAACTCACTTCTTACGAGGATGGTGGAAGTGCAGAATATGAATGATTTCAAAAGGGAATATTTTGGACACTTGAAGGAAATACAGTTGAGAGCTAGGGAGTGGAATGGACTGGAGCATTCCAAGGGGACAGGGAGAGACAAGGATTGATGGGCTAAATGGCATCCTTCAATACCATAATAGAGTCCATGACTTATTCAACAATTTGCATTCAGATAGAGAGGCACAGCACTGGGGATGGGGTGCTCTTGTGCTTGTTGTGGCATTCAATGAGGTAACGGCAGTTCTGCCACCTAGTTGTGTGGACCCACCATTGTCCCATTTCCTGAGTATAACCAACCCGCCCATTATACCAGTCGGGGAGCTGGTGTTCAGGTTCTCGGGTTCAACCACGAGTTTGATCTTTCCCCCCACCTCTCAAAACACAGAGAAAGCCGTCATGTACTTTGAGGCGACGGAGGAGGATGAGGACTCACAGGAAAACCTGCTGAAGCTGAAAGGCTGCTCTGCAACGTTCTGTCAGTACGTCAATGCCATCTCTGCAGCGCCCCGCAGTATTGGGAAGGATGGGAAGTTACAGTTGCTCGTCTGTCTCGGTGCAAGGTAAGACACTAAAATCCCAGAAGGGAAATGTTGTAAAGTTTTGTCCTTTTTTTTTAAACAGCTGTCCCTTACTTTTTTTTATATTAATCTATTTTTCTGATCAACCTTATTATGGAGCAGACCAAACCCCCTCAAAACATATCAAGCAGATAGCCTAGACCCAAACTTATATCTTATTTAAAGGAAAGTGTGAGGTGCTGCATTCCAGATGCGATGAAACTCCTAGGCTTTAAGCAAAACACACTTTATTCTTAAAACCCAGTTATAGTATAAACAGAAAAAGAAGGATTGGCATGATTTTATCTCTGTCAAAATATTTAACAAGATAATATAGCAATTAACTACCACCAATCAACTATTCCAATATAGCAGCATCTCATAAACACACCCTTGGCAAAGGTAAATTCAGCAAAATGGATTTCCCTCATTTGCTATCTCCAGTCTAGGAAAGGAGCACTGACAGATTGAATCTAGCAGCAGAGAGAGAAGGCGAGCTTTGGCAGCAGCAGAGAGAGAGCTGTATCTTGCAGCTTCAACTCCAAATCCTCAAAAAAATGAAAGCAAAACCCTGCGTCTGTGAGCCTGATTCCACCCACTGTTGTTTCTTTTGTCTATATTAAAAATAACCTACAGCTATGGAACAGATAACTCAGAACCAGGTTAGCAACACTCCTCTTCGAAACAGGGTGGAACAAATCCTTCTTAAAGGCACATCTCATCACAACCTGTTCAGACATGACTTTACATACCTCTGGAACAGATGACTCCCAGGCCAGGGTACAGGTACTGCCACTGTGCCACAAGAGGGCCCTTATTCAGCACATCAAATATGTTCTTAAATTATGACAAGCTAAATTAAAACAGCCTGAATAAAAACACTTTCCCGTAAGGAAACCTGCACGAAGAGAGGGTTACATTCCAATCCTATAATAAAACAACAAACTGCAGATGCTGGAAATCTTAAAATACAGATTGATGGTAGGGTCCTGTTGCCAAACAGGGGTGCAGGTGCATTGTTCATTGAAAGTGGAATTGTAGGTGGACAGGGCACACTTGTCTTCATTGGTCAGTGCATTGAGTACAGGAGTTGGGAGGTCATGTTGCGGCTGTACAGGATATTTATGATGCCACTTTTAGAATACTGCATACAATTCTGGTCTCCCTGCTAGAGGAAAGATGTTGTTAAACTTGCAAGTGTTCAGAAAAGATTTACAAGGAATTGGAGGGTTTGAGCTGTAGGAAGAGGCTGAATAGGCTGGGACTATTTTCCCTGGAGCATGAGAGGGTGGCCTTATCGAGGTTTATAAAATCATGAGGGACGTGGATAGGATGAATGGCCAAGGTCTTTTCCCCAGGCTTGGGGAGTCCAAAACTAGAGGGCATAGGTTTATGGTGAGAGGGGGAAAGATTTAAAATAGACCTCAGGGGTAACTTTTTCACACAGAGGGTGGTGCGAGTATGGAATGAGCTGCCAGAGGAAGTGGTGGAGCCTGGTACAATTACAATGTTTAAAAGGCATCAGGATGAGTACATGAATGGGAAGGATTTAGAATTTAGGATATCTGGTTAGCACACGCAAATTAGACCGAAGGGTCTGTTTCTGTGCTGTATAACTGTACAACCCCATGACTCGAAATTGCTGCAGAAACTCAGCAGGTCTTGCAGCATCTGTGGAGAGAAAACAGAATTAATGCTTCTGGCCCAGTGAGAGTTTTTAAATTTAAAAAAAAAACTAACTGCATGTTTTTGAACCTGACAATCCCAAAAATCATCCTTCTGACTCATTGACTCTCTTGCCCTGACCCACTTCCTGGCCCTCACCCTCGCCCTCGCCCTCTCCCTGACCCACTCCCACTCCCTCGTCCTCGCTCTGACCCACTCCCACTCCCTCGCCCTCGCCCTGACCCACTCCCTCTCCCTCCCCCTCGCCCTGACCCACTCCCTCGCTCTGACCCACTCCCACTCCCTTGCCCTCGCTCTGACCCACTCTCTCTCCCTCTCCCTAACCCACTCCCACACCCTCGCCTGACCCACTCCCTCGCCTTTGCCTGACCCACTCCCACTCCCTCACCCCGACCCACTCCCTTGTCCTCGCCCTGACCCACTCCCTCGCCCTCATCCACTCCCTCTCCCTCATCCTGACCCTCTTCCTTGCGCTGACCCTCTCCATCGCCCTGACCCCTGCATCCCCTTCAAATTTACTACCTATCTTCAGTTTGCAACTTCACTCTCTGACCCTCCTCTTGCCAATTTTGATCAGCTGTCCCTCCCAGCTCCCTGTTGCCACCTCTATCCTGCGCCATTGCTCACAGTTCTCTTTTTCCCTCTGCCTATTCCTTTCCCTTGATATTCTCTCATTTATTCTCTCTCCCTCTCTTTCATGTAATATTCTTTTTCTCCCACTGTCCCTCTCTTCCCTCTCTCTTTCTCCCCACCCCCTCTATTTTTCACACTCCCCTCACACTCTAGCATGCCACTCACTCACTCTCTCTTTCTCCCGACATACTTTTGCTGACTCTCTCTTTCTCTCTCTCTCTCCCTGTCTTCAGCTCATTCTATCTCTCCATCTGTATCTCTCTCTCTGTCTTTCTTCCCCCCACCCCGTGTAGAGAGTGTTATTAAGCTGTGAGCAAAAGGTGGAATACACGGACGAGTGACCTCGCACTTGATAGATGGGAGATAGGTTGGAGAAGTATTTTAGCACAAGGAGAGAGAGAGATATGTAAAAGATCCTGAGGGAGGGAGCTCCACATCATTAGGACCTTGGCAACTGGAGGCACAACTTCCCAATGATGGGAATGTGAGGTCACAGAGACACCAGGATCTTGGAGACTGGTGGAGGGCGGTGGAGGGGAGGGGGTGGAGGAGGGGAGTTAGTGGAGGAGGGGACGGCAGTGGAGAAGGGGAGTGGGTGGTGGAGGGGAGGGGAGAGCGGTGGAAGGGAGGGGAGAGCCGTGGAGTGGAGGACAATGGAGGGTAATGGATGGGTGGGTGGTGGAGGTGAGGGGATGGAGGTGGAGGGGAGTGGAGAGACATGATATCCAGATCTGGTTGAACCTGGGAATGTGACAGAGATTGTAGCTCATTGAGAAAGGGGATTGAAGGGGGAAGGTGCACGGTGAGCCCCACTTCGAATCAGTTCTTCAATTTGCTTCTCTTTCCCCCCTCCCTGCCCCCTCTCTCTGCAACACAGGGATCACCTGTTACCCCAGTGGATCCCGCTGCTAGCGGAATGCCCGGTGATCTCCAGGATGTATGAAGATGGTGCCCTGCTCCGGGATCACGCCGCTGTCAACTCACTAATCCGGGTCCTGCAGACGCTGCATGAGTTCAACATCACGCTGGAAGCCTCGCTGGTCAAGGGCATTGACCTGTAACATTGGAACTTCAGAGCTGCAGAGCCTGGCCCCACATCCCCACCACCGCCAACCCCGCCCCCCCCCACCCCCAACCTTCCCCCCCCCTCCCTTTCCATCCCCTCCCCTTGGCTTGCCCTCCTCTGACTGAAGGTGGTGGTGGGGGGGGGGGGTCTCTGTCCACAGTATCCGGGATACCGGTCACATGACACTGCCTGAAGACCGAGGTGAAACCACCCTGCAGCTGCCCTTGGGCCAAGGGACAGTATTGACCACTTCGCAAAGATGCTGGACAGATGAGGAGAATTGGCCTGTGCAATGTGTGTCCATAAACTGTACCTTCCCGAAAGGTTATGACACTGTCAGCTGACCACCAGGACTCACTAGTTTGTAGAGAAGGGTTCCTGCTCCCCTCTGTCCACTTGTGTACTCACCTTGTGTAAATACTGTGAGATCTTCATTATTTTTTGCATTATGCTTGCGGGTACATGTGTGTTTAATGAAGGTGACCTCTGAATCCCAATTTTGTGTGGGATGCTGTATAATCAGACGGTGGGCCTCTCTACATCCTCCAAGTTATGATTTTTTTTCACCTACGCCCCTCTCGTTCTTCCCCCTAAGCTCAAAGACCCTGAAACCGCTCCTGATGTCCCAGCCTCCATTTTTCCCCACTTTATTCTGCCCACAACATCACCACCCCCACCCCCACCCCCACCCCCCCAACCTCGTCTTTCTCACTCCAATTCCTGCTGCAGTGCTAATGGCCCTCGAATGAATTCAGTCTCCGTTTGAAGGGCTTCTTTCGATGAAGGAGTTGCCCCTATTTAATACCCTGTGGTACAGGGGACCCTGTAAATATGATGGCCCGAGTCCCCAAAGAGACCTGTTTATAAGTCCAGGGTCTCTGCCTTCCCAGACTGGTGCTGCTATGAAGAGGAGCAAAGTACTGCAAGGGCACATGGCAGAGTGTATGTGCCCTTTGTCAGGTGCCACTCAGAGTAGCACCAATCTCACCTGCCATCTCAAGAGGAACGTCAATCATATTTCAGTTATTTATTGGTTGAAACTTGAATCCTCTAGACAGTTTTTGAGAGAGCCAGTGGAATTTGGCTGCCGGTGATTTCAGTAGATGTCGCTCTCCCTTCTATGGAATACCAAGGTCGGGGGAGGGGAGGGGGGTGGAGCGGGTGTTGCAGCCCTCCCGTGGAGTTACCTCTCTCTCTGCAAAGGCCTGAAGCCTCACCCTCCGTGCCCACTCTCTTAACTGACCTCGCAACGTAGGGGTGAGGAGGAGATTGTCCCAGATACCAGCTACCGAAGGAAGTGCCACCTCCCTTGACCAAACTGCCAGTCGACATTCACTGCCCAGGCTGACCCAACCGAACCCTATTGGAGGGTATGGGGGGAGGGGTGCAGAAGAGTTTGAAATCAGTATTTTAAGAAACCCCCCCTGTGAATTCCTGCAATGAAAATGGAAACAAACTGTCAGTGACTGAGAAGGTGATGGATGTGTTAACAATGAAGAGGGGAGGGAGCTTTCAAACTGATGGGAGGAGCCTTGAGCCCAAGATTTGTCTGCTTTCTGGTTTCAAACACTGCACACTTTTTCAGTCACTTGGAGGAGTTGCCTTTGGAGAGATAACGGAATGCCATTTGGAAAGACTCCCAGTGTGGTGAGGAATTCCGAGATGGGACGCTTGTGAAGATAAAGGCCCTTTATCCCAGTCACAGCGTTGGCTCTGAAACAGCAGATTAACAGCAGCTTCCCTCACTCCCACTGTCCCTGGAACGCCATGTCGGAACATTCTTTCCTTGTTTGTCAGACAGACACACTGCAGGTGTATTCTATCTGCTGCTGCTTTTGTCGCCCAGCGTGGATCCCAGCTGAGTAGTGAGGTCCCAAATCACCACGATGTGACACGGATTCGGATAAGGATTGCTTTTGTCTGTTTGGCTACAGTAAGACCTGAAAGCAGCACAGACTGCATGATGGTCACAATCCAGAAAGACTGTTCCAGGAAGAAGCCTTCTCTCCACTGGACAATTCCAGAGTTTCCCATTAGAGAGGAGGTACAGAACTGGTCCACTTCAGGAAAACTCGGGAAGATCCCTCGCTGAGGATTCTCCAGGTTAACCCCTCACTATCCCCGCACCCACACCTCATGCTCAATCCAGACCTCTCATAAAGGCTCCTAGAACTCTCTAGTTAACACATGGAGCGTGACCACCTCTCCAGAACCAACCTGGCAATTAAAGGTTAAATTTCCTATGCATCGTTGAGAGCATTCCAGGGAAAAGACAATGATGGCATTAAAAGAAAATGATATATTTTCAATTTCATCAAAGTTTGTTTTATGTATCCCAGTAACGTGGGAAATGGAAGAACAAATAGTGGACGATCAGGGGTTAGTGAATGGGATGGGGCAATTGGAGGAGGGGAGATGATGTAGTCAAGCCTCCTGGAATTTGTCCAGAGAGGACTTGCAACTCTGAGCATCCCGGTGAGAATTTGCAAAATTAACACTGCGTGCACACAGACAGTATTGAAGAAACAGACACCTCTTCAGTATCTCAGAATAGATCCAAACCACTATTGTTGCAGAGTTGCGCAGTGAAGCAACGCATGGGGCTAAAGACCCTGGAAGCATTCTTTTTTTTCCCTTTTAAAACTGCTGCTTAAAGAAATTACGGCACTTTATCGGAATAATGGACTAAATGGCATGTCCTCGTTGGATGGGGAAAAGCCCAATCCTTTTGGATAGTAATGACAACCAATTGTATGCTAGTTACATATGACTGTTCCAGTGCAAAGTTGGCCAAAGCACTGTGCGGCTGACTCCGAAAAGGCTCTGGGTTCGTTATCTAGTCTTTGCGGAAAGAATTGGTCATTGGTTAGGACAGCAATTGACCTCAGTGTTCCTCGCCTGCTGTCCCTTGCCTCATGAGCAGAGAAGCCCAGACGGGCTCTCACGCCACATGACTTCCCAGTGATTGTCAGAACCTGCGCGTGTGGCTGTTGGGTGAGGAGTGAAGCCCACCCTGGCTAAACTGCCGTTGGTGCCCCAGTATAAAGAATAGCCAACCACACAGACGAGGTACAGCAGAGGAGGTGTAGACCTACAGGAGCCAACACCTCACTGTGCAGACAGGCACAAAACAACATTGGATGGGTGACACTGTGGTGCATTTCAACGTCCCTAATGCAATTACAGGAACAATTGGCCAAACAAGTAATTGGAACGAGTGCATGGATATGAACTGAGAGAGGTACCTATGGGTTCACTTTCCATTGCACACCCATGCACGATTTATCTGCGACAGTGTTAAGCCTTGCTGTGAATCGTTCTGACACAAATCTCGGGGTACGGGCAATGGTTCTATTAAAGGTACCTGGGTGATGAGACCGTCATCACATGAGCGAAGGTACCAGGCCATAATGCTACCTAGCAGCTGCCCACTGCTGTGTCTCGGTTCCTGCTGATTGCTGTAACTGCTGAACTGATATTAATATATACTTGGTAATCAGAAATAGACGTGACTGTAGATTTATTTTGAGTGCTCGGTCTTAGGTTACTACTTTTCTTCTTTTTAAAATAAAAATGACTGTTAACTTCACTTAGAATTGACAGCTCAGAAATAGGCCATTTGGCCCCAACAGTCAATGCCAGTAGTTATGCTGTGCACGAGCCTCCTCACACCCTAATATATTTCATCCTGTCACCAAACTTTTCTATTCCTTTCTCTCTTAGCTACCTTCCTCTAAAAGGCACCTTGACTATTCTCAGTTGCTCTGTGTGTAGTTGCAAGTTCCACATTTTCCTTGGAATTTCTCTCTGATTCATCACTGGATTCATTAGTGTTCCTCATGTTTTGGGACTCTCCCACTAGTTGAAACACCTACTTTACATCTAATGTATCAAACTGCTTTGTAACTGTTCAAAACTTTTATCTTCAGTCTTTGAGTGTAAAGGACCTCAGCAGACTCACTCCTTTTGAATTCTTACAGCCTGTGAGTTCTGTTATTGTTCAGCTGAGTGTGGAATTCCAATATATCAGACTTCTTCTTTAACCCCCACTAAATCGTATCACATGGGCTTTGCTTTTGCAATGAGACAGTACTACAGACTAACTTGTACACACAGGACTCCCTCCCTTCTGATCCTTCCTGAAGCTTCTGACTGTCTACATGCGCACACTACCCAGATTTGTGTACAATAAGGTGTTATTATGAAAGAATCTGATAAATGTCATAAATGTGAATTGCTGACTTTGTACATGTGTCCTATAACTCTTGCATTGGTAATAAAAGATAAGGAAGCTGACCAGTCACATATTCGTTGTTGGGCTGTAGCTTTGTTCTTGCAGCTGAACAAATCTGCAAGTTTGGACTTTAATCCAGAAAAATGCAAGGTGACGCATTTTGGAAGACCAAATTCAGGTGCAAATTGTACAATAAATAGCAGAACCCTTGGGGGAATCACTGATGTACAGAGGCATCCGGGGGTACAGGTCCACAGATCCATGAAAGTAACAACACAGGTGGATAACGTAGTCAAGGAGGCATAGGCACACTGCCTTCATTGGCCGGGGCACTGAATATAAAAGTTCGCAAGTTATGTTACAAATGTACAAAACTTTTAGTTAGGCCACATTTGGAATATTGCTTATAATTCTGGTCGCCACACTACCAGAAGGACGTAAGTGCTTTGGAGAGGGTGCAGAGAAGGTTTACCAGAATGTTACCTGGTCTGGAGGGATTTTGTTATGAGGAGAGGTTGGTTAAATTGGATTGTTTTCGCTGGAAAGGTGAAGGCTGAGGGGGCATGGTGCGACCTGACAGAGGTCTACAAAATTATGAGGCATAGATAGGGTGAATAGTCAGAGGCTTTTTCCCAGGATGGAAAAATCAACTACAAGAGGGCACAGGTTTAAGGTGTGAGGGGGAGATTTTAGGAGAGAAGTGCAGGGAAAACTTTTCACACAGAGGGTGATGGGTGCCTGGAGTGCACTGCCAGCGCAGGTGGTGGAAGCAGGCACATCAGCAACATTTAAGGCATAT